GATACGGAAAAAATCCGGAAGACCATGACGAGTGCAGGAGAACGAAGCTAGAAGAGGTCCATTAAGGAAGAATAGCTTGAAGGCTGCGGAAAAGGGCATCCCCAAAAACTGCGGATTCCGGTAGCACTAAACGATCAAGCAGGTAAAAGAATCTCACAACACTGCCTGCACGATGATCCACAACAACCTCTACTCCTATAAGGTTGGGGTTAACCTGAAGCTATCGCATGTTGCCCCAGGAACCATTCCCGATGTCATCTGAGACGAAAACAGTCAGCAATCAAGAATATGAAAAGTAGAAGATGTCCTGTCACGGACGGCATAAAACGGGAATATCTGAAGGAAGAATTACCGTCTTGAAATCATAATCTTCCATCGCCGCTTCTCCTTTCGGGTCGCGGAGGCGGACGTGTCAGGCAGAGCTTCCAACGTTCCCGATCCTGTGCCAGAGTCTGAGCTTCGGCAAAAGACAACTGGAGCCTTGAAATTCTGTGTTAAATGATATATAGGGTATGTCAGACTGAGAAAAACATCGAAAGCATGAAACAGCCCTTCGACAATTCGTCTATTCAAGAAAGCTAACGATAAAGACTGACAGAATTATCGATCCATCACTCAGAAATATGCTAGGTCTTTACTCGAATCATCCTCAACCGTATCCGGAAAAACCTGGAACTACTCGTAGTAAAGAATAAGTCGGGTTCTGAACAGGATTTCCACACTATGCCATCGTGAAGCAGTTAACAGAGAAGAGCGAGGAATAAAAATTCCTCCCCCCTCCGTTGTTACACATTCATCGATTTCAGAAAATCGTTCGATTCCATCTTGTAATCTTCATTACTGCGATATGAAACTTGTCTGAGTTAAGGTGATTGAGGAACTGAATTGATACTATAGCTGATACCTAGCTATTTGAGAACCCTTGTCGAATTAATGTCAAAAGCGAAGGCGATACTGCGGCTCTTAAGCTTGTGGCACGGTGCTACAATCCCACTTCAATCTCTGTACTGGGGAGGAACCATGAACTCGACGGAGAATGGCTTACATATCATAGTCGACGTCATAATCCTTGTCAAAGACCCGGCAGAACTGTAACCAAAGATTGTTGTTGTAAAGTTGCAGGAGTCTTGCGCCATCGGTCTGGAAATGAACGTCTCGAAGACGAAGTGGATACTCAAAGAGCACTGCCCAGCGAGTAGCATCCTCATTGATGGCGAAGAAATGATAAACGTCGGTAGCTATTTTTAGCAGAGTTATCTGATAGAATTTAATAACAGCATCAACGGATGAAGAAAGGCGCCATGGGTAAGTTTCTATCACTCAAAATACAAGTGCTGGATAACTGCCCATGTTTATTGACGAAGAATGAACTATTCGATTCCGCCGATCTACCCGCCATGATGTATGGCGCGGAACGCTGGTCTGCCACCACGGCTGAGGTAAAGACACGGGTAACAAGGGGCAATGGTAACGCAAAAGATGACAGAAAGAAAATATGCAATGTCTCCCTTCGAGGCCATTTTCAAAGACCGATAATTTGTTGTCAGACGCGATTTTATATTTAATTACTGCTAGTTTCATTTCGGAGGGGCGTTGAACTGGCCATGTGATTCATCAGAAGAACAACAGGCAGAACATCCCGATTACCATCTCTATCCCCCTCAGCAACAGAATTCCACTCGGTTATGCACCAACACGCTTGGACAACCTAATGAAGAAGCTATTTAGTCGACGATGGAAGCACAAGGCATAACATTGAGAACAGTGACTTAACGTCAGGCCAATGCCCGCTGATGAAAACATGTCGAATGAATGAATGGAGTACAAGCACTTGACATGTAATAGTTATATAAATGTAACAGTATATAGATATGTAAAACTGAAAAATGTAGACATAGTAGGAACATAGTTGGAGCAGAAACATGAGCATATTAAATGTAAGTTGAGCTATGTGTACAGCTGGTGTTTTACTTACTTTTTCATATTATCCACGTAGACGAATCGAAAGGCCTTGTCTATTTATTACCTCATTATTCAGTACAGTGCGACAGAAAACAACAGAGAATGTAATAAAATATGTAGACTATAAATATTTATATAAATCTTGTGTTCTGTCGCAGTCACCAGCTTTCTTTTCAAGATTTGCATAATGAGAATGCTGCGCCATAAAAACGTCATCGGATTTATTGGTCATCGCTGCGAGGATGACTTCTATTACGTATTTCTGGAATATGCATCGGGTGGCGAGTTATTTGATCGCATCGGTAAATGACATTTTTGTTTCGCATTTTATTGACAACATTCACAATCTCTTTGCAGAACCTGACATCGGTATGAAGGAAAGAGATGCACAATTTTTCTTTCGACAGCTAATCGATGGGATGGTAAGTGAGGATTGCGTATTCCTCTGTTTAAAACTACTTATTCGTATGTTAAAATACTTACCTTTTCGTTTCAGGAGTATATTCACAGCAAAGGAGTGGCACATCGTGACATCAAACCTGAAAATCTCTTGCTCACTAGCAAAGGTAGATTTTTGTTTTATGTATTTGCGGTTTAGTTTTTTTTTTGATTGTGCGCTTTCTTGATCATCCATGTATGGAATGAAACTGTTTTTAAATAATTAGGTAGTCCTTTAGACGTGTTGAAAATATCTGATTTCGGGCTGGCGACCATGTTCAGAAATCGTCAAGGTGTCGAGAGACTACTGGATACCAAGTGTGGAACTAAACCTTACGTCGCACCTGAGGTGCTTCTCAGGGAGTATCGTGCCGAGCCTGCCGATATTTGGAGCTGCGGCGTGGTGCTGGTCGCAATGCTTACCGGAGAGCTGCCTTGGGACGAGCCGAAGAGCGACTGTGAGCGCTTCCTTGAATGGAGGGAGTGTAGGTCCTGGCGATGCTTGCCGTGGAAAAAAATCGACAACGTTGCCCTCTGTAAGTTTCATATTTTATGGGTCGGTTGGATCTCGACGTCTGCTTCTAACCCAAGGGTCACAACTCAGTTAGTTGTGAGCTATTCACTGATCGTTGCATGTCGCCACACCTTTCATTAATGATAGACTGAACTGCATGGTGCAAAATACGTAAATGACTTTAAATCACCATCTTGAACAGTAATGTGAGTATAAGTCCTATCACCGTTTGTGCAGAAGTCTTATCTCCAAGCTATACAGTTTCTTTTCCTTCTTAATTTTAAAACCTTAGCCTAATCAGATTTGGTAAAGAATGCGTGATATTAGTCATTACGCCGGGTCATACAACAAAGGCACAAGGCCTCCTTGTTTTTTGAGATACGGGGGCAGATTCAAGCAGTTCAACGTGGATGCACAACACATCACAATGCTGGCTCATCAACCTTTCTACAAAGATTCGAAAGACTCTAGATAGTAGTACGTTCGCATGTTGTTTTGTTGTTCTCATGCTCGTTTCCCAGAACTTCTGTCATTTGTCGTTGCGGGCCGTTTTCTCTTCCTTAACTTTTTTCTTTTAATCTTAATGATGAAAGCGTAAAATTGCTTGAGCACCGATCGTCAGCAGTTTCCTTCAGTTTGTGTTAAGGGGATTCATGTTGATTCAGTAACCCAGATTCCATGGTTGAATACACATTTATGTAATATACGGTTCTATATAAAACCAATACTTCGGACAACAATGATGTCCTAATCTGAAAATTCTCTACCGATATTAAAAATAGATCACAGTAAGAATGAGTATATAAACGATTAAATCTTAAAAAGTGATGTAAGGATGTTTTGTTGTATGTGGCCACTACCCAGTTTATACCATATGAATTTCAATCTTCACATAAACATTTGTTTTCAGCGCTGCTGCGAGCCATTTTGTCTTGTGCATCGGAGACACGGGCCACCATTAAGCGAATCAGAGAGCACCAGTGGTTCATAAAGGACTTCAATGCAACGAGTAAGTGCTCGATGAGTAACTATTTACGTAGCATTTACGTCGAGTCGTTTCAGGAGTGAACCACATCACGGCCACGGGCGGTAGTGACCCTTGCAAACGACCGAAGTTGGAGGGCCTATCAAAGGAGGACTTATTGAAAAGCCGGTTGAGGGTCGGAATGTGCAGTTTATCACAGCCAGAGACGACCAGTTACCAATCTCCCTGGCAAGCAGCCCCGATGGCTGCGTCTGAGTCGACAGTCGTCAGCATTTGTCGTGAGTTCAAGCTGTCAATGAGCACCAGACCACGGGTCGACCTCTCTTACAACTTCTCACAGCCTGCCAAGCTCGACAGTCTCTTGCTGTCCTCCCAGCCGAGTCAGCCGGGAGCAGGAACGGTAAGCGATCCTGATTTCTTCGTGCGATTGACCTGTTTTATTTCTGCAGAATCCTATCGAAAATCTGGCAAAGCGAATGACCAGGTTCTTCCTGAAAATGGACTTTGCCCATGTACTGATCAAAATCAATGACGTTTGTACCAAACTGGGCATGGTCGTCAGTGTCACCCATCCGTCACAACTGACAGTCCACACCTTCGACTGCCGTCGTACACCGCTCGTTTTCAAGGTCACCGTCTTCGATATGGGTTCGAACGTTTTGGTCGACTGTAGAAGATCCAAAGTAAGCGATTAAGTATTTTGGCGCACAAGCTAGGTCCCCAAGTTGCCTTTTCTGAACATTTTCATCAGTTTTGTAACCAGCTTCGGATTAAATAACATTCAAAATTTTAAAATTTCGATCTGTCGAGTCGACAGTCGCGACTTTCTGCCTTTAATTAGATAAAAAATTATACGTTGTAAGAACAACTGAATGCCAACAAAAGCGCAACATCAGAATTCATGGAACACCTACTAACCTACCCCTCACAGACTACTGAATACGAGCCTATAGCATCTTGTCCCAAGAAGTTAATTTTCCTATTCAGGCAATCAAAGTTGATTCGTTTATTCAATTGAAGTTATTCTCACATTGATGAGAATTAACCCTGAACAAGTATTTCAGGAAGCTGACATCAGCAACGGCCAATAATGATATGGGGCAAGCGCCTGAAAGTACCTTTTGCCAGATTGAAGTTTTTTTCTGCCAAAAGTCAGTGCTAGCGAAAGATAGGAGAAGTCAAAGACACTGTCTGATGCTAGTAACTGCGCTACCCGAAGGTATAAACGGTCATTGAAAGTATCTGGCTGGCTGACAACTGTCAGCGTATCTTCTTGCAGCCTTGACTCTTGAATAAGAACAGTGCACAGACAGATATCCTCACTGCTACCCGACATCCGCTGACAAGTCAGAAATATGAGGTCATGGGAACTGGTTGTATAGAGGGGTGTTCCAAATCTGTAATATGTAAAAATGACGTTTCACAAATTTCGAATTAAGTTTCTTGATTTTGTGTAGTGGAGA